GTCTGGTATAACAAGGCCACCCAAAAGACGACTGCGGACAGACTAAATAGTCCTACAAAGGACTGCCTGCGTAGTGGCAACTGGAGTATAGGATTAACGCCCAGGGCAGTCTGAGCTTGCTCTCCTACAGATTGAGATATGTTCGACTCAATTAAGGAATCACCGGTCTTATACATGATCTCAGATATCATGCGTCCACTACACACTTTTGATAAAAAGTATTTAGTGTAATTACACTCCAGAGAAGACTGGCTGAATGGCCAGGTTATCTGTGAGGTCGGTAGCCTCATATGATATACCGATGAGTCTAAAATGGGCCTCGACGTAGGCTTTGGAATTTTTTTTTTATAGGATAGGGTGACAAACGAGCACACAGTCCACCTGATGGTAAGTGGTTGCTGCGGCCCATAGACATCTACATCTATCTTCCATTACAAATCAAAATGCAGATGCGTTGTCACCCGTGAGGACTGAGATGGAATGCCTCATTTCCAGTAAAAAGGGTCTCCGGTTCTCTACACTCATCATACGAAATACAGCAGCATTAAGCTACTATTTCACGCTGGTATTCTGTGAGAGCGTGGTCCTTCCCCGGTCGAGCCGACCCATTCGTGCTACAACTATACTACTAATATAATTGCAGCATGGCTCTACCACGTATAAATTTAATTAATACCACGAATTTACGGGGAACGCCCCAAATTCAAACTTAGTATGAATTTGGGTCGTAATACCTCTGTCTTCCAGGCAGAAATTTTTGCCATACTTCGGTGTGCAGAAAACAATCTGCAAAAACACTACGTCAACCATATAATTTACGCGAACTCTGATAGTCAAGCAGCACTGCTAGCGCTGAGATCAAACTTAGTGAACTCGAAGCTAGTTGGAGACTGCGTGAACCGTTTAAACGCCCTGGTATGTAACAACAGGGTCGTTTAGAGATGGGTTCCGGGTCACGAGGGTATTGTAGGCAACGAATTTGCCGACAAATTTGCACGGGAGGGCTTAAAGTGCACACAATTTGGACCTGAGCCATTTTGTGGAATCTCAAGAAGCCTAGCCCGATTGACCCTTGAAACTCTTTATCACAATAAATCACTTAAGATCTGGTCTGACACACCAGGCCTAAAACTTTCTAAAACCTTAATCCGGGCTTTTGATCGTAATTTCGCTTCAGAACCCCTGGGATTAAGTAAAAATAAATTGCGCATTCTGGCAAGAGCCCTAACTGGACACTGTTGTCTTAAAAAGCACATGTCCATCCTGGGACTAAGCAAATCAAGGATGTGTCGGTTCTGTTCCATAACGGAAGAAACGCCTCTACACATCCTAAGCGATTGCGGACCCTTAATGCGCAAACGTAACACTCATCTGGGACACTATCTACTCCGCCCAGAAGAAGTGAAATTGCTCACGGCTAAGCAACTCCTTCTATTAATTGAAGACATAGGGGCTTGGCCGTGAATTATAACCATAGCAGCGATCACAATAGATCTTTTAGGTCGCAGTGATACCGGTCTCTTTACCTAGACCTGCATAGCTGCTCGCATATAATAATAAAAAAATATAAATCCAAGATCCGTTTCTGGCTTAATAAATAAGTTATTTAGTATTAACCAACTTGCTGAATACATAAGGTACCTATTTGTACACAAAAGTAGTTAAATGAATTGCTCTTCAAAACCGATGAAGTTGTATCAAATAGAGAAGCTTCCTTATCTCTCGATCCAAACATTCTAATTTTCTTTTAACATTATAATACCTCCTTTTGTGTATTTATTCTATTTATTATTTAATTTAGATTTTACTTATAACATAAACTAATTATCTAAGACTTGTTTGTTATTTGTATTTGTTTGAGGTAGTTCAACAAATTTAATAATAGATTTTCATAAATTCTAGGTGTAAATTAATAAACTCTTATATTAATTGATACTTTGCGTCCATTCCATAATCCATAATCCATTATAATAAATAATTTATTACCTTGCAACCTTCCGCTAACTAATTACAATGATGTGTCTTACCTGGATTGAAGAGCACCTCCCGCCCTCCCTCAATTTCATGCACTAACTCCGTCACCAACTGCCTCGTGTAGAGGCGAAACACGTATCGTATTGTCGTCGATGGTGTGCCTTACCTGGAATAGTGGTGTTGGAAGTAGTGGTGCCGGGAGTAGTGGTGTTGGGAGTAGTGGTGCTGGGACTAGTGGTGACGGAGTTAGTGCATGCAATTGAGGGAGGGCGGGAGGTGCTCTTCAATCCAGGTAAGACACATCATTGTAATTAGTTAGCGGAAGGTTGCAAGGTAATAAATTATTTATTAACTCTTATATTGATTAACCTAAGCTCGTCAGTTTTATTTGCGAATTTCAACACAAAAAATAAAAAGAGAAATACATACATTATGTGTAAATTAATATTTGTTTAACGTTCATTATAATTGATAATATCCATATTTTTTTAACATTGGTCTTGTAATACCTATAAATAAAAATCAAACACGTCTTAATTATGCAACCATCAAAAATATTTATAATATTATTTCGACCGAAAGCGAAACGAAGAGATTCGCAATATGGCAGGATTGAAAGATGACCTTATCACAAAAATTGATAGGGGCGTACTCCAATAGTTTGGGCACGTTGAACGAATGAGTGAAGACCGAATGGTGAAGAAAATATATAGAGCGAAAGTAAATATTAAAAGGTGTCGAGGTAGACCGAGACTAACTTTCGAAGACCATGTGAGCAAATTGCTCGAAGAGGGGAGGGTCAAGAGTACTCGGATACCTAAACGTGCATGTATGAAGAAGTTAATGAACCTGAAAGAAGCGAAAGAGGTATGTAAGGATCGTGACACTTGGCGATCTATTCTCTCTGGCTACCCCGTTAGGGAGTGTGCGTGAAGATAAGTAAAAGTAAAAGTAAAAAAAAATATTTAACCAATAACCACAGACTTTATTTTGTTCTTACCATAATGATGCGACTCCAACCATGTTTTATTTCACTCGAATGAATCGAGTGAATTTGTCCAACTCGATAATCGATAGAAAATATATTTTACCGAGTTACCGAGTTAACTCGGTGCATCGTATAGATTCAGAGGGTGCTATATAGATATTACTTCGCTAATTTACTTGTATATATAATAAGTCACTGCGGGTGACATCACAGGTTGCATCCAAACTCAAACTTGCATTAGGCATGTTGTAAACAAGTCTGAACTTAGTTTGATCTATGATATTGGTTTATAATTTTAATTTCATGTTGCCAAATATTACTTATTTATAAAGGTACATATTTAAAAATGGTTTAACTAAAGTAATCGCTACTCTCAACTCTAGTAATAAACTTTTCTGTAAATAATCGATTTACTCAAAAACTAGTGTACAACTAGAATGACATACATACATAAATTAAACCGAGTGGCTCGATTCACAAAATTCTAATCGAATCGCATCTTAATCTTACGGCCAATGCAGTGTTTATCTACAATTTAGTGATGAAATCGATTTACTAATTCGAGCAATTTATTGATATATTGTAATAAATAAATTGATCTTAGGTAATATGTTTATAAGGTTATATCAATTTATGTTACGTATAATATAAATTGATAAAGTATATTTTGTGATAGTCAAAATATTAATAACATTAAGACTTAAGTCATAACGTTAGAGTGATACTATTTTATGAAGATTGTCGATACGCATACCAAAAATAATATATAACTGCCTATTAAGTGTAGTAATAATAATTTTGTTGTGTGGAAGAACAATTATAAAAATAATTTGTGACATATTGACACAGCTTCGTTCAGTTAATTTGAATTGCGTAACTCGAGCTCAAAATCGAGTTACCTGAATAACAACTCGAGTCGATTTTTTTCCGAATTATCTCTGATTTTTTTGTTATTTGAATGATTTTTTTAATATTACATTACCTTAGCCAATGATCTGAACATGAATATCAAAACAACTCCTTTTTTTTTTCAAATTTTTTGATTCCGTTTAGGTTTTTTTATTTATTTATTTATTATTTCTATTTATTATATTATATTATATTATATTATTTCTTATATTTTCAAAAAATCTTTATGTTATAAGTAAAGTAAAAGTAAAGTTACAGCCTATATACGTCCCACTGCTGGGCACAGGCCTCTCCCATTTATGAGAGGGTTTTAGGGCGTGTGTGTAAGGAAGTGTCCGCCGCGCTGCCCCAATGCGTGTTGACGAACTTCACATGTCTTCGAAATATGTTTTATTTGTTTTGTTTAGGTTTCCTCACGATGTTTTCCTTCACCGCCGAAATCAGCACTTAAAATTGCAATTAACAATTTCATTGGTGCCAGCGGGTATCGAAACCGGGTTACTGGCGTTCTGTTATATTTACAGCGAGTGTTAACCATCTGAGCTACCACGGCTCTTTATGTTATCTAAAATAATAAATTGGTATTTTTTTTGTATATGATATTATTGCGTGTCGCTAAAATTTCTAGTGGTCCCAAAAATGATTATCTCCTTTTTTATGAAAACCCTTCACCCAAAAGCCTTTACGTAATACAAAATTAACATAAATACAAAATTAAAAAGTAAAAACAATATTGAACGTAATTTTGTATCTTTTTAATATATTTGTTTTTATCCACTTTATTTTTATCGATAAAGTTTATAAATAACAAAGATTCCACAGCGCTTACCGTGGGTTGATAAGTGTTTCAAATCTTGACGCTGACTCACTGTTTGGATAATCTATGTTTATAGTAAAACGACGTACCGTACCGCATCTCACAGCAGTCGGTAAAAACTTTCGAGACCTATTAGTTGCGTGTTGTTCAACATGATAACTTCAATTATTGTTTTGGTTACTATTCTAGCGCTTTATATACGGCATATGGACGTATAAATACTGGGAGCAGAGGGGAATCAAACATGACAATCCTATACCGTTCTTGGGCAACAATGCAAGAAATTTCTTGACGCAGGCGAGCCTGTCTGAAATGGCGGCTGAAATGTACTGGAAGTATCCAAAAGAGAAGATCGTCGGGTTTTACCGAGCGTTCCGACCGACGCTTGTGGTGAGGGATCCCGAAATTGTGAAACGAATTTTGACGACTGACTTCATTCACTTTTATTCGCGTGGTATAAACGTACACAAGAAAATCATTGAACCGATGCTGCGTAATCTGTTCTTCGCGGACGGTGACGTCTGGCGGCTGCTGCGACAGCGCATGACCCCGGCGTTCACCAGCGGCAAGCTGAAGGTTGGTTTGGTTGATCGTCGAGCGAGCAGAGAAATTACAAGTACGAGTCCTGGACGCCGCTTCAAGTGGCCGCACATTAGACGCTCGTGAATTGCTGGCTCGCTACACAACTGACTTTATCGGAGCTAGTGGCTTTGGTCTTCAGGCAGACTCGCTTAACGACGAAAATTCAGCATTCAGGCAGTTAGGAGCAAAGGTGTTCACACCCACCGCAAAGAAGCTTGTAATTGGTATGCTTAAACTTATATTCCCTGAACTATTTAAATATGCCAAAACACAAGGGGAAGTGGAGGCCGACATCGTTCCTCTTGTAAAGGAAATCCTGAAGCAAAGGAATTATCAACCATCGGGCCGAAACGACATTATAGACCTGCTGCTAGAATGCAAAGCCAAAGGTACAATCGTGGGAGAGTCTATACAGCACTTCAAACCTGATGAAACGCCTGAAATCGTAAAACTGGAGTTGGACGACTTCTTGGCTAAACATGGCAACAAAATGAGTTACGACGCAATTAAGGAAATGACGTATCTGGAGTGCGCGTTCAAAGAGGGCATGAGGATGTTCCCTTCCTTAGGCTTCTTAATTCGTCAATGCGTTAGCAAATATACGATTCCTGAGATTGAAGTGACAATCGACCCCGGGGTTCAAATTTTAATTCCTATACAAGCGTTGCAAAATGATCCGCAATACTTCGCCAATCCCGAGCAGTTCCGGCCGGAGAGGTTTCTTCCCGAAGAATTTGATTCTCACAATAAATACGTATACTTGCCATTTGGCCTCGGACCTCGCGCTTGCATCGGTGAGTATCTACGACAAAAACTAATATTGTTAACTAGCTGTTCCCGCAACTTCGTTCGCCTGGAATTTATTACGATTGGATTTAAAAATTTTGCACAGAACCCTACTCCTTTTTCTAAAATAAAAGTAGTATGTCGTAGTAACATTAGCTAGATAGCTACATATGTATAGCAATAGGCAGATGCAAGCGAAAGTCCCGTCAAAATCGGTCCAGCTCCAGCTGTTTCTGAGTTCAGCCGTAACAAACAGACAGACGGCAGACAATAATTTTAAAAATTATTCCTTTTTTGTTTAAATACTGTATATGCTCTCATATGCATTTAGTGAACAGCTGTTATTTAGACATTACAAACAGACGCTTCAATGTTATTTATTTGTATAGATGTTAAAAACCATCCTTTTTTTATTAATAACAAAATGAGTAGTAGCTCCGTGGCAGCTCAGGCAAGAAGTGCCCGCATGGTACGCAAAAAGCCTAAGTTCGATCCTCGCCAAAACCAACGAAATTGTTAATAGCACTTTTAAAATTTGATTTTACGCGTAGGTACTCGGTGCTGAAAAAAACAGTTTGAGCAAATGTTTCTTTTTTTTTGCGCCCGAAGCAATTAAAGGGCTACCCTAAACGTAGGGAGGCGGAAAATACATTACGCATACCACGATAGCCGGTCTATCGTGGTTATGAGAGACTCACATCCTACCGGGGAACCTAAGTGATACTCTCTAAAAACCGCCTTTAGGGACTGGCAACTGGCTGACTAAGCTTTATTGTGCCGTATCGGGAGCGACCCTCTTTTGGGAAAAGAGGGCGCAGGCGGCTACGAGCCGCTGAGGGAGTGCCTACGAAGGCAAATTAATTACGAATAATTTAATTTAATTAGAGTTAGCCTGAACCGCCAGGAGACAGTTCAGGTCGTTTGATAGTTTATTAGGCGGGTCCGAGAGAGAGTTTCTCGGCCTGCGGACTCGATAGCGAGAGGGGGGTGGGGTTGCATAAGTAGCTGCCTCACAAATAAAATGGTTGGAGTGCGACTCTGAGGCTTTGAAGAAGTTCTCAGAGAGTTTTTTGAGAAATTGTTGAATTGTAGGGAGCTCTAGGTCCCGATGAAGGTCGGCATTACGGACGTACCAAGGTGCGTTCGCAGCTCGACGACAGAAAAGGTTTCGAACTATTTGGAGTTCATTAATAATTTTTGGGTCGGCGTGGGCAAAAATGGGGCCCGCGTAGGACATGACTGGTCGTATACAGACCTTATAAAGGGTACGCTTGTTTCTGAGGGACATATTATTGTGTCGGCCCAACATACTGTTGAGCCTACTCAGGTAAAAACGTGCGTGACGGGTTACTCTTTTGACGTGGGGCCTGAAGGTGAGCCTTGTGTCTAGAGTGACACCTAAATATTTGGCAGTCGTATGCCAGGGGACAGGGGTCCCTAGCATACGTATTGGTGGAGTGTTTTTGAGACGGCGTCGTTTATAATCGAAGTGAACGGCGGAGCTCTTCTCTGGGCTCACATCGATGCGCCATTTTTTGAACCAAGCTCCTAGGTCTTCAACTGACTTTTGAACCTTGTTCCGTATGAAAGATAGCGAGATACCTTTGCAGTAGATAGCAGTGTCGTCTGCGAAGAGGGAGAGCTGAACACCTTTCGACGGGATGGGAATGTCGTTGGTGAACAGGATGTACAGCAGAGGAGCAAGTACTGAGCCCTGAGGGACACCAGCTTTGATAGGGCGCTGTGAAGATAGCGTTCCTTCGTGTCTAAAACGAAAGGTACGATGCTTTAAGTAAGAGGCCACGAGACGTACTAGATGATCGGGGTGTGGCCGTAGAAGGAAAAGGGGAGATCTCCCACCGGGCAAGGTGTTCTGCCCGGGGAGCGGCCTACACTCCATGTGATAGTTCGGAGATGTTCTATATATACTGTTTATGATTCGGAATGTTGATAGCGTGATTTAGGCTTCAATGTATTTCGCTTATGGCGCGACGACAGCGCCGCCACATACATCACCCCCCTGCTCAGACCGGAGGTCGGTAGTGCAGCCGCGTTTCCGACGAATGTGCAAGTGCCAGGAGATTGCATTGTATTCTGCGGTGAGTCGAGAAGAAGGCAAGTAATCTGGGAGAGTGACGTGAAGCAGAGGCGAGCAGTAAGGCTCAGAGCCATGCCGAACACTGTATAGCGCAGAGAGTAGCTTGAAGGAACAGGAAGCATTATTATACCAGTGCTGCGATGAACCTTGTGAAGCTAGATGTCTTACAGGATATGAAGACTGCAGACGATATCTGCTCAAGAGCGAATGAGTGGGGTATTTTATGACGATGATGAAGCTTGAAATTGTAGTTTCCGAAGGTTGTTTGTCGTTGCGTGTCAGATCAGGTCGGGTGGTCACCACTGTGGCCGTAGAAGGAAAAGGGGAGATCTCCCGCCGGGCAAGGTGTTCTGCCCGGGGAGCGGCCTACACTCCATGTGATAGTTCGGAGATGTTCTATATATACTGTTTATGATTCGGAATGTTGATAGCGTGATTTGGGCTTCGGTGTATTTCGCTTGTGGTGCAACGACAGCGCCGCCACAGGGGAGACCTATTTTGTACAGTTTGTAGATAAAGCCTGTATGCCAGACTCTATCAAAAGCTTTAGCTATGTCGAAAAAGACCGCGATTGTCTTATGACGACGAGGATAAAAACCGCTGAGGATATATTCCACAATACGGTGAACTTGTTGGGGACATGAGTGTTGCGCTCGGAAACCGAATTGATGGGGAATAATAAGAGGGTCACCGTCTGTGGGAAACAGATAGCGCCTCATACGAGTTTGGATGACTCTTTCGAAGAGCTTGCCCATTGCCTTGAGGAGGCTAATGGGGCGATGACTGGATGGGAGGTTGAGAGGCTTGCCTGGCTTGGGAATACCAATCACAGTTGCCTCTTTCCACGTAGTGAGAAAGTAACTAAGGTTAAAGCAGGCGTTGAAGATAATAGATAAAAAGGTTAACACCTGCTCAGGAAATTGTTTTAGGGCTTGGTTGGAGATGCCATCCGCGCCCGGAGCCTTTTTGGGCTTAAGTCCTTTGATGAGGGATGAAATCTCATCATTGGACACAGAGATAGGTTCGGAGGCTGTAGGGGGTGAGTTCCGGCGGCGGACCTCATCCTCCACTGCCTGGACGTGTGAGGGGTCGACGGGTTGAGAGCTAGGAGAGCATTGTGCGGCAATGCTATCTGCAAAGCACTCAGCCTTTTCCTCGTTCTCGAAGGCAACCGTACCGTGGGTGATAGCGTCTATGCGGAGGGCTCTAGCCATCTGATAGTACGCTGTATGAGATGGAGAGATATTCTCCATGAGTATACTCTTTTCGAGGTCTCGAAATTCAGAGAGGCGGAAACGGAGTTCTCGTTGAAGACGATTGTCCGTGCGCCTATATTCGGGGGTGGGATATTTTGCTGCTCTCCAGAAAGCAGATTTCTTGGCTTTTAATAGGTTGCTAATATGTAGGGGAAGCCCACTATTATTAGCAACCGGGACGACCCTTTCGTTCTCCTTAAGGGAGGATTTAATAAGTGTGGAGAGTGAATCGACCGCGGTGTCGATTTTTTCGGGACTGTCTAAGTCCGACGGTAGGGAGATGGTAGAGTCCTGTGAGTCCAGAGCTTTAGCTAGGGACTCCTTGAATCAGCTGTCGAATCGGGAGGCGGCTGATAACCAAGAATGAGGGAGACCGGTCGGTGATCGGATCCTAGATCGTCTAGTGTTTCGATTGCTCTGAGGTTGAGAGAAACTCCGTGGAGTAACGCAAAATCTAGTACATCGCGGGTGTGATCGATGTTATCGGGAAATTGAGTAACACCGAGGGGACTATGGATGGTAATATCAAGAGACTGCGTGATATCGAGCAGTATCTTGCCACTAGGGGAGGTAGTACGGCATGTCCATTCAGTATGCTTGGAGTTAAATCTCCAAACATAATGACTGAATTGCCTAAAGATAAGATAGCCTCAAAATCTTTTTTGAGGGGATGGGTTCCTGAAGGGATGTAACAGGAGGCTATGAGGATGGACTGATGTCCAGTCATAGCTAGCCTGCATACCGTGGCTTCCATGTTGGTAAGCTGCGGAGTAGAAATGGGCGAGCAGTAAAGTGTCTTCTTGTAATAGATGGCCGTTCCGCCGTCTCGACGGTCGGGTCTGTCATTACGAAGAAGAGAGAAGTTTTTAATAGAAAGGCCTTTAGTGTCCTTAGTTTTGAGATTAGTTTCCTGTAGGAGGAGGAAATCGGTTTCACGATTCCGAAGAAAGAGCTTAAGCTCTGGGAGGTTATTTCGCAAACCGCGAATATTAAAGGATACAAGCGATAAACCCTTAGGTTTGATACGACCGTGAGACTTTAGCAGAGCAAACTGCTCTGTCATTGTGAAGTTAAGTTAATTAAGTTAACTTAACATACAACGAGCACAAAAGATTATGGTGCTCTGTAAGAGCGATTAGACGTTCCTGAGGGGACCTCGCAGCGCGCAATTTGCGTGCTAACACCGCGATTTCACTAACGTCGATGTTCCTAATAGCGGAATACAGCGTTTTTAGGTCTTCAATAGTAGGCTGTGATTGTTGTTGTTGTGCGACGGAGATTGTCCGCGGTGGGTCTGCCTTATTGGGGCCCCAGAGAAAGACTTGGGGCTGCATAGGCTTTGAGAAGCCCGGAGGGAGCCGAATAATGCCCTGAGGGGGCCTAGGGGGACCCTGAGAGGGCCGAGAGAAGCCCTTGATGGGCTGAGAAAAGCCCTGATGGGGCCGTTGGTAGAGAGCCGGGAATAAGCGGTCATTGACCGGCGGTGGAGCTTGTCTACTGGGGCGAGGATGAGGTGCGCAAGGGCAGCCTCTGTAGTTTGCCGGGTGGCCTGTTTGTTTGCACAGGACACATGCGGGTGGGGATTCGGCGTCTTTGGGCCGAGGACACTCTTTGGTGTTGTGGGGTTCAAGGCACTTAACGCACCTGGGTGGGGCGGAGCAGTTGGCCGTCGCATGATCATATAGTTGGCAGCGGTGGCACTGCGCCTGGAATCCGCGCCTATTTGGGGGCTCAATCTTCACTTTCGACAGGCCACACACTGTGCGTACCTGCCGGAAGATGACTTTTGCCTGCGGCACGTTTGTTAAGATGACTAGGGCAAGATTGAACCTTTTGCTCGTTCTGCTGTGCATTTTGTGCACGGCTTCTATGGGGAAACCTTGGGACTTAAGGTCCTCAAGGATTTCCTCGTTGAAGAATTCAAAGGGGACGCCTAGAATGACGGCCCTAACTTTTCGCTCTTCCGGAAGAGCGTAGGTATGGTATGAAACTCGTTCGGCTGTGAATAGCCTGGTCAGTTGACGGAAGTCTTCGATTGAATTGAGGATGATTTTAATAGTCTCCCCGAGGTTGATGGCGTGGTCGTGTTTAATGCCTGCGTCGTAGCAGGTTTTAGATAATTTGGTAAATTTTGCCTTGTCTCTTAGGAATACAGGGGGCGGGACTTGCTTCTTGGCAAGGACTGGAGCACAACGAGAGGCTGGCTTGGCCATAGCAGGGATGTCTAGTGACATAAGTGGGACCGTGGCAGCGGCGAGGACATCTTATATTTTGTCGTTAATAAGTACAACTTAAATTTTTGATTCCAAAGGGACATTTCTCATCTACATCACAATGTTTTTACGGTATTACATATTTTAAGAAATACATAATAAATCTGGCATTGGAATACGAGTCATTCCGCCTATAATTAATATAAATATCAACAGTAATTATGAAGACATATTTACAGGAAACAAAAACGCAACCCTCCTTTTTGCATTACATTTGCACAACACTATCTATCGATGACACTTCGTAACTATTGTGCTTTTTAAATAAGATAGTATTACCACAGTTTAAAGACAATATATGTATTTTTATAGACCAAGGTTCACAAACGAATACACAGTCCACCTGATGGTAAGTGGATGCTGTGGCTCATACACACCTACATTTATCCTCGATCAAGAATCAAAACGCAAATGCGAGAACTAAAACGAAATGCCTCGTTTCCATTAAAAAAGTGTCTCCGGATCTCTACACTCACCAAACGAAACACAGCAGTATTACGCTGCTAATTTACGTTAGTATTTTGTGAGAGCGTGGTCCTTCCCCGGTCGAACCGGCCCATTCGTGATACAACCATAATATAGCTGCAAGGTGGCTCCACCACGTGGTAGAGTGTATATTTAAACTGTGGTATTACATTAAGCTTTGTCAGGAAATTTATAATTCTTTTTTGTTTTTTTTTTTTAATGTGGGAGAGACGTGGCAGCACAGGGGCTCAGCGCCTGCTGTAAATTATCTTACCCTAAAACCCTCTCAGAAATGACAGGAGGCCTGTGCCCAGCTGTGGGACGTATATAGGCAACTTTTACTTTAACTTTAGATACACTCCATCTCAATCCTCAGAGGTGACAACGTATCTGCATTTTGATTTTAAATCTAGTTTAAATAAAGATATCTGTGGGCAATAGCATTCACTTACCATCAGGTAGACTGTGTGCTCGATTGTCATTTTTATATATAAGCTATGGCAAACGAGCATGCGGCTCACCTGATGGTAAGTTACTGCCTCCGTCCATGAGCAACTGCAACATCAGGTGAATTGCGCACCTCATCCTTATTCTGTAAGAAAACAACCACGGCACAAAATGCCCATTTCAATAAAGTTCATTATTCAACTAAGTATTTTAACCAATTTTTATTTTATTATAACATATTTTTATATTTTTATTAACAGGTGAACAACTGGGCTTGATGCAGTCGCTGGCGGGACTGGCGGCCGTACTGTGCTGCTGCTCCGTGGAGCCCGGTCCCACCACGATACGCAACCCCAAGATAGACCCACGAAGCGGCATCGTGCAATCCATCAAAGGCGGTTTACCTCTATTGTTTCGTAAGAGGGAAATCAAAAATTAACAATTTAAACACAGTGATATTTAAGTGAGTTAAGTACAGTCACACTTCCTGACATTGATCTCCGCCGGCATTACTGTGGAATGAAGTGTTTGTATCTGTATCTTTGTGTTTGTGTTGACTCATCGCATGCTTATGTAAAAAAAATCGTGATAAAACATGTCAACAAAATACCATGCATGATATACGAGTATCACAAAGCGAGACGATTTTATCTGCTCAAAGCCCGTGTCTAAAAATCATAGGAAGTATGTGCCCAGACGTGGGAATAATCAACGACTTTTTATAGAATGACGGTGAAATACGATCTCTCAATCCACCTGACGGTAAGTGGATGCTATTGCTTACGGACACCAGAAACAAAACGCAGTTGCGCTGCCACCCCCGAAGACTAAGATGAAACGCCTCGCCTCCAGAAAAAGGGATCCTTGCTTCTCTACACTCACGATACGAAACAGACCAGCATTTAGCTAGTTTTTTACGCTGGTATTCTTTGAGAGCGGGGTCATTCACCGGTCGAGCCGACCCCTTCGTGCTACTACCATAATATAGCTGCAGCATGGCTGTACCACGTAAAAGGCTGTTATTCTACGCTGCAGAAATAGATATATCATTAAAAAAATAATTCGAAAACATCAACATGATTTCATTTGCATGTGTGCATGCAGATGTGAACTTTCACGGGGTGCTTAAGACAGGAAGAAGAACGTGAGTACGTCCAGAAGTTGAGCATGGTGTCGACATCACATGGAATGTACGCAGCACTCCGTCAAAATTTTTGTTAGCCTGAGGTTTTTATTTGAAATATTAGATCTATTTTTCATAATCAGTTCTTGCTGAAGCGTAAGAGAAACATATTCAACAAGAGAAGAGTGTAAGTTAATAACCTTTCGACTTTAGAAGTAGAGTTTCAAAGCAGCTGCATCTGTCTCTTCATCCCGAAGACTGCCGAAGCAAGTCGAAGGATGTCCAAAAGATTTTTGCTTCATTTTTTGTAACTATGAACATTATCAACAAAAAAATTTTTTTTTAATTTCTTAATTTAATTTAGACACGTTACTACCACGTTTTTACAAATTCACTTTCATGTATGTCTGCTCGGGTTGAGTTTAATATTTAATTTTCAACTATACTTCCCGATTACCTAAAGACTTGAAATTACGAACCTAGCTTAGAATCAGATGACAATGTGAGGATTTCAAAAATCTGTAGTAGGACTGCACACTGGAGAAATGCTAGTGTGACGGTAACTTTTTTTTTTAATAAAGAAAAATATCTCCACCACAGTTGCCACGCCTGGTAGGTAGTTTGGCAACCGCAGTATCTTTTATATTTATGAAGGTTCTGCTACCCATCTCCGCTTTCATTTCCCTCCGTGTGACTATTAAGAAAGATAGGCAGTGCGCACGTGTGCGTGTAAATGTACGGTGCGTGCAGGTAAGTGACGCTGAAACCATACCCAATTTCTTGAAATGTACTCAGGTACACATTTTGCACATTTTTCTTTCTTTACCTGCCCGTGAAAGTCTTCTACTGAACGCACACATATCAACCTTAGCATATTATTGGTCGCAAATGATATTATGAGCATATGTGTGCTTGAGTGCGTGTTCTTACAATAATTAAGACATGGATTTGTCTTGAGTTAACTCTTTAACAAATTCAATGTAAATATAAAATATTCGACTGTTCCTATTTCTATCGTAATGTAATTATTCTTGTATAGTGTATTATCCTGCATAGGTGTGACATGGACATTAAACATGATCTTTGTTTTGTTCATGTTCATCTTAAGACCTATCCGTTGGGAGGCACTATTGAGGTCATTGAGCATAGTGCTTAAGTCCTCCAGCGATTCTGCCATAAGGACTATATCGTCGGCAAATCGAAGGTGAGTGATTTACTCGCCATTGATGTTAATACCGTATCCTTTCCAGTCCAGTAGCTTGAAAACGTCTTCCAATGCAGCGGTGAAGAGTTTCGGGGATATAACGTCACCCTGTTTTACACCTCTCTGCAGTTGGATAGGTTTCGAGCTCTGGTTCTGTACTCGGATAGCCATCGTAGCCCTACTGTACAAACACACCGACCACCGACTGACATAGCCCAACGGATTAGTAAGCTGAAGTGGCAATGGGCTGGCCATATAGCTCGAAGAACCGATAACCGATGGGGAAGAAAGGTTCTTGAGTGGCAGCTTCGTACCGGTAGGCGTATTGTAGGGCAACCCCCCACTAGATGGGGTGACGACCTGGTAAGATATGCAGGAAGTCGATGGATGCAGGTGGCTCAGGACCGTGCTTTGTGGCATTACTTGGGGGAGGCCTATGTTCAGCAGTGGACTTGTGAAGGGCTGTAATGATGATGAGCATATTATCGTCCAACTATTACAGTCTATAAAAGTCCACTGCTGAACATAGTCATTCCACCATATAGATTACCTCATATAGAGGGGATTTTGCCATAGTGGCCACGCTTGGCAGGCGGTTTGGCAGCCGCAGGTGTTTTATTATCTTGCTGCTATCAGGAAGATGCAGTTGTGCATCTCCGGCTTTAGTTTCAGTCCTGGTTTTAGGTTTGCCTCTTATGTATAGTATCGTGTTAAAATCTTTTAAACAAAATGCAAATTTTTTCTTGTCAACCCTTAAGAGGATACCTTAAAATGAATCGTAGTTTTGGGGGCGTGTCTTATCCCTTTGTCGGTGAAGCTCACGGACGACTGAGCGAGTGTCAAAATGAAAGTGATGCATGACTTCACAATACGCAAATTATGAGATAGCTATACCGAACACGCGCTCGGAAAAAAACTAAGTAAGCGTCAAACAACATTTTTTGTACTAATCCTTATTATGGATTTAAAAAATGGTTTATGGGAACTTAGATATGATTATTTACAATGCCTTGAAAAAATTTGATGAACTTATTCGTAAAATATTTTGGTGTCATGGAGAAATATAAGTAGTTAGAGCCTAATTTGCATTTTTTTTCTATCAAGAAAAATACATGCTATTGTGTTTTCCTGTTATGAAATCCAAGGTCATATAATCAAAAATCATATAAGCACCAAAAATTTGGTTCGTAATCTATAAAACTTAAAAAAATATGTGAAATAGAATAACCACCAAATTTCCTAGGTATCACCTAACCGACTATAGCGTTGCCTACGGGGAGTTAATATCATTCTGGTCATGAAACTAATGTTTATTTTACAAAAGATAGACGAGTCGTACGAACTTACAGTCCATTTGATGGTTAGTGGTGCCGTATCCACTTGACATCCACGGACACCCGCAGCCAGCTCCAAATAAAGAGCTACAGATTCGTTGGCACTACTGAAGACTAAGAAGGAAAGTCTATCATTATATTGACTCTCTATACTTTGCACTACTATTTGGCACCAAAAATAGTTAAGAGTGAGGTGATTTCTACTTAGGTAGACTCCTAGGAACATAACATCCCCCTATGAGGCATTCTAGGAGGGATGGCCCATGTTCAGCAGTGGGCTTTTGTAGGCAGCTACGGATGGATGGACAATATGGCATGAAAATAAGAAAAAACGTGATATGAGAACTGTTTTACCTTGATGTTGAATATCAAAAGTTACAGGTTTAAATATGCTTAAAATGTATACATTTTAGTATAATTGTTTAGAAAAATCTGAAAGATTGAATCTAAGCTTGTATTTTAATTATATCCTCTTAAGACAAACTTGACTCCATACGGTCTAATGAACCTTTGACATATCTGCCAAACAATAATAGTATTGTGAATTCCTTAATTTATAAACAGCCGGGATGGAAGATGTGATTTAGATGTGGATAGGCGTGTCGCTGCCGGAAACAAAGTCAATGGTGCCCTGAATGCATTAGTAAAAAGGCAAGGCGTGGTGAAGAGTGCACGCCTTGCAATACATAACGCAGTGTTGGTACCGACTTTGTTATATGGCAGCGAAACCTGGGTATGCCAGAAGAAGCATAAAAGCAAGTTGAATGCAGTGGAGATGCGATCTCTTCGTAAAATGTGTGGCGTTACCACAGCCGATCGAAAGCGAAACGAAGAGATTCGCAATATGGCAGGATTGAAATTTGACCTTATCACAAAAATTGATAGGGGTGTACTCCAATGGTTTGGGCACGTTGAGCGAATGAGTGAAGACCGAATGGTGAAGAAAATATATAGAGCAAAAGTAAATGTTAAAAGGTGTCGAGGTAGACCGATACTAACTTTCGAAGACCATGTGAGCAAATTGCTCGAAGAGGGGAAGGTCAAGAGTACTCGGATACCTAGACGTGCATGTATGAAGAAGTTAATGAACCTGAAAGAAGCGAAAGAGGTATGTAAGGATCGTGACACTTGGCGATCTGTTCTCTCTGGCTACTCCGTTAGGGATTGTGCGTGAAGATAAGTAAGTAAGTATAAAAAGAGTAATAAAAAGACAACAGATAGCTGATAGCAGAAATAGTTAATTTTTCATGACTTTAATCTTTATATATAAAATTACGTGTCACGCTGTTTGTCCGCGATAAACTCCCAAAACACTGAATTCATTTCAACATAATTTTGCACACTGTGTGAAGTTTGGTCCAACTTAAGAGATAGGATAGTTTTTATGCCAATAAGTGACCATCGATCTATATTATTACGAATCTATTTATTTTTTATATGACAGAGTGTCGTCGGACACGGCAGAACAACGTCTGCCTGGCCAGCTAGTTTTATTATAAATTTGAAAAAATTAACAAAATATAATTAAAAACCCAGTAAAATAAAGTAAACAATGAATTTTTAAAACAGTTGTACATTGAATAGTTACAAAGGAATTTAATAATGATTATAGTAAAATATTTTACTATAATCATTTTTAAATTTGGAAAGATATAGCGATATAAGTATCGATGAAATAATGAAAGAAATAAAAGGCATGCAAGCAGGTAAGGCGGCCGGATATAATAGAGTATCACTCGAAATGCTAGGAGCTGGACAGGAAGTGGTGACAGGCCTGC